TTTTTTTTTTTTTTTTTGTAGTTTGGCTTGTGGGACTTGAGGTCAGAAAAGAAAACCACTTGTGATGTTGCGCAATGCTAACCACTCAGTTTTATGGTCTGATCTTGGTAGTGAGTCTTTAATTTTTTATCATAGGAAGAAATGAGTAGCAGTTCTAGGTGTGCCAATAAATCAGGAGTGGGTCTCTGGTGGTAGGAAACTGAGTTCTTGGGGACTGGAATTTCAAGATTTTTATTTTTCTTTTCCATCTACTGATTTTGAATATTTTACATAGTTCTGTCCAAAGTATGTGGTGTGTATTTCAACTGACATCCTGCGCTCCTAGCGAGCACACTCCCCTAAAGGGCAGCAAGGCAATCAGAACATATGCTCTGTGAAATACAGTCCGGCTGTTCCACGTGCCAATAAACGAAAACATAGGTCTGTGGACCTTAAATTTGTTGTTGTTTCTTGATTTTTTTTAAAGACAGGGTCTCTGTGTAGCTCTGGCTGTCCTGTAATTCATTCTGCAGACCAGGCTGGCCTCGAACTCAGAGATTGACTTCCTTTACCACTGGAATTTACTTTTTTTTTTTTTTTTCGAGACAGGGTTTCTCCGTAGCTTTTGGTTCCTGTCCTGGAACTAGCTCTTGTAGACCAGGCTGGCCTCGAACTCACAGAGATCCGCCTGTCTCTGCCTCCCGAGTGCTGGAATTAAAGGCGTGCGCCACCACCGCCCGGCTCTTAATATTTATTTAAAAAAAAAAAGAAGAAAAGATTATATGTGTGCATGAATGCAGGTGTGTGTGGAATCCAGAAGAGGGCGTTGGTTCCCCTGGAAATGAAGTTCCCTGTGCTTGTGAGCTACACTTCAGTCCTCTGCAAGAGCAGTTCATGCTCTTTTTTGTTTTTATTCTGTTTTGAGACAGGGTCTCTCTCTCTCTACATAACTCTGGTTGTTCTGGAACTCATTTTGTAGACCAGGCTGGTCTTGAACTCACAGAGGTCTGCCTGCCTCTGCTGTGAGTAAAGGTGTGTGCAGGAGTCCTAACTTAGCCCTGCTTGTAAAAAAAGAGTTACATTTTATGCTACATGATGGTAAACATTCATTAAACTATTACATTGTAATTATTTACTTGGTATGCATGAGTCTGGGGGGGGGGCGGGGATTCACCAGTACCACAGTGTGGGTGCAGAGGTCAGAAGACACCTTCGGGAGTGGGGTCTCAGCACCATTACCTGCTGAGCCATTTTGCTGGTTCAATGTCAGTTTTATAATACCACAATTAAGAGATTGGAACCAAAACTGGATCTATGCAGGTCATGCATGACGACCAGGACCCTCCATCACAGAGACAATAGAGTCAGCTGGGAAGAGACTGTGCCAGTACTCAAGAGGCAGAGGCAGGCGGATCTCCGAGTTAGAGAGGAGAGCTAGTTCTAGGACTGCCAGGCTGTGTAGAGAAACCCTGTCTGTCTGTTTTGAAGAAAGAAAGAGAAACAGTAGTGTCGACTTTATCATCTTTACTCTGGAAAGGGAGGCATGGTACAGATAATGCAGTAATGGGTGATGTAAATATAAATATAGGTCTGGGTAGAAGTGTGAAGCCAGCAACTGGGTGATTTCTTTGGTAACTGATTTATCTTCCTGATTGTTTCTCCAGTACTGGGAAAGTTCTCTGTAATCACGGTGATGTCCTTAGGTAACCTTGGTCCCGAGGGCGGGGGCTGTAGCTGTTGTACCGGAGCAGAGTTTAACTGGCATACTGGGGCTGGGTTGCATCGCCCTCACAGCCAAGATGCTTGCCCCTCACAGACAGCCTTGAAACAGACAACTTCCTAATTGCTATTCAAGGGCACATGGAGAGTTCACAGTCCTAGAAACACTTCACATCGCAGCTCCCACTGCAAGACCAACTAAAGCCACACAGGGAGATCCTACTATACAAACAAAATTAGGGACAGAGATGGCTCAGTGGTTAAGAGCACTGACTGCTCTTCCAGAGGGTCAGGTTTCATTCCCCTTCCCTCCAAAGAACCAAGTTCTAGACTATGCCAACAGGTGCTGGGAAACAAGTCCACAGACATCTGGATTCCAGGCAGACTGGTCCAGCCAAAAAAAAAAAAAAAATTCCAAGGTGAATAATTATTGATTGGGTTAATTTGATCTCTAATTTTTTTCATGTCCTAAAAGTTTTTACAATCCTACTTTGCAGCAAGAGGTAACCCATTCCCACCGCCTCCCCTCCTTGCCAGCATTGGCTGCTGAGGGCACCTGCTGTTTTTAATCTACGAATTTAAACCAGAGAAGATGTTGGGCCAAGAACTTGCATGCAGAAGCTTTGGGGAAACCTAAAGGGTTAAATCATTAGGTGCATTCCCATTCAGACTCCAGGGGAGGGGAGGGGAGGGGAGGGGAGGTGATAGCCTGGGGTGAGTCAGCCTGCTCTCTGGACTCCAGAAAGCAGAGGAGAAACTGCCTTTGATAGCATCATCAGACAACTGATATGGAGGGTGTTTCCTGGGCTTTATTTATTCTGAAATGTGTAGGTGTGACTAACTTTTTGAGAGCTTTAGATATGAGTCACCTGATTTTTCCTGACGAATGTTAGTGTTTATATCTCAGGAATGTGTTTTGGAAACTTTGAATTTGCTAGGAGTAGGACCAGCGAATTTTGTTTTAATGTCAAACCGTGGGTATGCAGGCAAGAGGACGTCGGCCATAGGTAGTGAAGGGCTGGATGGCTGGGTGCCCTGGGCTGGCGTTGGTCGTGAAAGCCTGTTGGGATGAGGGCCTTTCTCTGCCTGGCACCTGCCGTTCCTGTGGAACATTCATGTTTCCTGGCCATCCTAGGATTTTAGACAGAAAACAAGTCTGCCGGTCAAACATGTTTGGTGAGCATTTACTTTACGCATTTTTTTGTGGTTCTGGCTGGAAAGCCTTGCACATGCTAATTTCATACTCTGCCACTGAGCTATGCTTCTAGCCTCAAAGAAAAAAGTAAGATCCCCCTCCATGAACCAGAGTCTCTCTTCCTTTCCTTTTTTCCCCTCTGTTTAATGTAAGTGTTTTGCCTGTGTGTGTGTATAGCACCACGTGTGTACCTGGTGCCCTTGGAGGTCAGAAGGTATCAGATCCCCTGGAACTGGAGTTAGAGGTGGTTGTGAGGGTACTGGGAACTGAACTCCTATCCTCTGCAAGAGCAGCTAGTATTCTTAACTGCTGAGCCATCTCTCAGCCCCGCCCCTGGCATTTAACTAGACATTTAATATGCTCTATACCCAGTGACTCCTAAAGAGAGGGTTAAAATTGTGTGATGGGACACTTTTTGAAGAAGCCTGAAGAGCCTTTCTTGGGCTTCCCATTTGAGAGCACACCACACCAGTCCCACAGGGATTTAGGAGATACTTTAATGTGTGGCCTTAGGGAACCTGGAAGGTAAATAGGATGACAGAGGGTGCTTCCTGCCTGTCCTGTGATCTCCAGCCTCCCTGAGGCGATTATTCTCCTCACCCACTAATTGCTGAGCTTTTGAAGCAGACTGGCCTCCTGGTCCCTGCAGCCCAACACTGAGCCTAGCACAGGGACAGACAGACAGCTGGACAGATGGATGGACGGGACAGCTGTGCTTCTTAGCCAGATGGGGCAGGATTTTAAAGCCAATGTGTTTGTTAATAAGCTCTTTTGTTCGTACACTAACTCGGAGGATGCTTCTTTTCTGTATTTAGACCTGTTTCTTACATGATGACGTCATTTGTTTCATGCCACGAAGCTCAAAGTCCTCCCCCCCCCCCCCCCGCTCAGACCTCACTCTGTCAGCCTGTGAAAAGATAATTCCTCTTATGGGGTGCTCTGCAGTGGTAGGAAGTTAGGTCTGTGAATGCCTCCAGTGCCCTGGTCTGGGCTTCAGGCACAGTTAGAGACCTGGGCACAGAGTGAGGCAGCAGCTGCAGGCAGGGGCACCGCAGCCTGTGCCTTTCTTCCCTCAGCTCCTGCAGTGAGGTTCACAGCATGGCTTTCTGTGGCCTGACATTCACAGAGATCCTCCTGTCTCTGCCTCCCAAGTGGAACTAAAGGCATGCACCACCATGGCTGCTAACTTCCTGCTTTCTGATGTTACATTTGTAGTTTGGAGCCGAGTTTCGTCGGTTTTCGCTGGAAAGATCCAAACCTGGGAAATTTGAGGAGTTTTATGGGTTGCTGCAGCATGTGCACAAGATCCCCAATGTTGACGTGCTAGTGGGCTACGCGGACATCCACGGGGACCTGCTGCCCATAAACAATGATGACAACTACCACAAGGCCGTTTCCACCGCCAACCCACTGCTCAGGATTTTTATACAGAAGAAGGGTGAGTACCCTCGTATGGAGGCTTTGCCTCTGACCTAGTGGGTCTGCACCTTGCAAGGGGCTAACACATGGTGATACTGCTGGCTTATTTAATGTCCAAGCCTTCTCTGAATGTACAGAAGAAAGTCTGTGCTTTTAACCATTAACTCCCGAGAGAGAGACTGACTGACTCCTGCGGAGGTCAGAGGACAGCTTGCGGAAGTCAGTGTTTCCACAGGCTTGGCAGCAGGTAGTGTTTTGACCTGCTGCTATACAGTCTTGCCGCTGCCCTTCCCTGTTAGCGTTTTTAAAATTATGTTTATTTTTATTTTTAAATTGTGTGTGTTAGTGCGTGTGTGTGCATGGTTCTGTATGCATGTGTACAGGTTAGAAGCCAGACATGTCAGGAACTGGGGTTACTGGCAGATGTGAGGCTGCTGGGGGGGTTCTGGGACTTGAACCCGTGACTTCTGAAAGAACAAGCCTGTGCTCTTAACCACTGAATCATCTCTCCAGCCTCCTCATAGATTTTTTTAAGAGTCAAATTAGGAGCTGTGGGGTGGAGGCAAATGCCTCTGATCCCAGCAGCACTTTGGGAGCCAGAGTCAGAAGGATCTCTGAGTTTGAGACCAGCCTGAGTTCTTCTAGGGCATCTAAAGCTACACAGAGAAACCCTGTCTTGAGGAGTACAGGGGGTATGTCAAATTAGGTGTATAGTAAGTCTTCATTTCACTGTGGGATTGATGGGGAAGAATAAATTTGGCAGCAGAGGCTCACCCACCTCCAAGGCTTTATTCACTATCTCCTAGACAGTGCAGCAGACTACTCTAGTCCCCATCCTTTATGGAGCGGCTGTACTGCCTTAGCGTCACTACACGGACAAATTGAGGGAAGGGTGGCACCCAGCAGAATCTTCCATTTACAATAATAGTGTAAATGTAAAACTAACTGGGAAATGAGAAGGGAATGATGGCTATGGGGGCCGTAAATATGGTCTCTCAAAAAGTGCCTTGAGTCCTAAAACTCCTTTAGACTGGCCCTGCCCTGTGTGTTAGACAAGGAGACAGAGACACAGTGAGGCCACAGATGGGAGGGATGGACAACCTGTCTTGTTGGCCACCACTTGCTCCTTTCTCTCTGGTAAAGGAAAGATTAGAAAAGCCCACTTCGGAGCTTTGAGTGGTGTAGGATAAAGACCTCACAGGTCTCAGGCCAACCCAGAACGCAGCTGGAAAGGGAGGGTGGTGAGTGTTAGATTGCTCCCAGGGGTATGACATGCCCACGACCTGGTTACTTTGCGTTTCTGGGTTTGGAGAAGCTGAAGTCTGTCGGCCGCATCTGCTGAGGGGCTGCAGTCTGTCCTGAGGGAGTTAGGGTTAATGCTCCCAAGTGCCCATAGGTGGATGGCAAGCTCCACGCAGGCAAGCTGTGGGCAGAGACTGACTGTGAGAGGTCCTGGTGTCTGCTCGCAAGAATCAGTGTGTGGAGAGCCAGGAGCAGGTGGCAGAGAGGTGAGGCGGGAAACTGGCCGACAGCGAGAGGCACAGCAGAACACAGCTGTGGTTTTGATCCCGATAACCAGTCATCACAGTCCAGCAGAGAGGTGAGCTTGCCAGGGAAATAAGGAGTTTGGTTCTAGGCTTAACAAATTATCTCACCATGCAGATGAGAAATGACAGTCTAGGGTTGAGGGGGGGTCTAGGGATCTGTATGCCAGAAATGTGAAGGCTGTACGCACGGGCGGGCTCATGCCTGTAATCTCAGCACAAGAGTCCAAGGCAGGCAGAGTACTAAGTTTGAGGCTAGTCTGGGCTCCATAACAAGACCCTGTTTCATTAAAAACCAGGAGCTGGAAGAAAAAAAAAAGACCCTGTTTCAAGAGGACAAAACAACGTAAAAGCTGTAAGAGCAGCTAGACTAGTGAGTGAGCAAGGCAGTAGCTTGAAGCCAGACCTAGGGAACGTCACATGGACAGGCAGAGGGGAGGGCAAGACACTTGATGGGACTCATCATGTGAAGCTAATAATAACCCTCTTATTAGCAGTTATATATATATATATATGTAAGTATCTACTTTTTTACATTTATTTGTTTTGTGAGGGGAGAGGGATGTACACGCCACAGCACCCTTTGTGGAGATCAAGGACAACACCTTGTTGGTTCTGGGAATCCGACACAAAGAGACAGAGAGAAAGACAGACTCGGCAGCAAACACCCTTTCCAGTTGAATTGTGTCCCCTCTCCCTGAGGGTCTTACTCAGTAACCCAGGCTGGTCCTAAGCTCCCATCGGTTCCCCTGCCTCAGTTTCTCAAGGTCAGGGATTACATGTGAGCCAAGGTGTTGTCTGAAGATAGCTTTTTAAACTACATCCCTTACAGCGTGTTGTTAGGGTCCCCTTTTGTTGAGCCTCAGTCTGCCTGCCAGTGTGGTCAGTGGAATTTCATTTCATTATTTTACATCTGTTCATTGGGTTTTGTCTTTGTTTTCATTGGCTTTTTGTTTTGAGACTCATTGCGCTGTAGCCCAAGATGTCCAACAGTGGCTTAGGCCCACTCCAGCCTTCTAGTACTGAGTTACAGGCGTGTACCACCATAGCCAGCTTCGTGGGCATTAAGGTTTAGAAGTTTGTTTATATGTGGATAAAGGTTTTCTATGTAATAAAAGTAGAATATCCAGTAAAATTAATAACCCTGGGAGTTTGATGCAGGGGACCAGCAAGGTACCTCAGACGGGAAAGATGATTGCCACCAAGTGTGATGTCCTAAGTTCAATATCTGAGACCCACAGGGTAGAAAGAGAGAACCAAGCCCTTTGACCTCCACTTGTGCGCCATTATTCACAAGATACTTCCCCAACACACACACACACATACAAATACACAAACAAAACTAAATATAAAATTTTAAATAATTTTATTGTGGTTTTTTGTTGTGTTTATTTTGGGATTTTTTGGTGTTTTTGTGCTTCTCTGTGCAGTCTTGACTGTCCTGGAACTCACCCTGTAGACCAGGCTGGCCTCGAACTCACAGAGCTTCACCTGCCTCTGCCTCCAGGTGCTGAGATTAAGAATTTTTACCACCACTCCTGACGGATTTTTAGTTTTAAAAATAAGATTTAGGGCCAGGTGGTGGCGGTGCATGCCTTTCCTCCCAGCGCTTGGGAGGCAGAGGCAGGTGGATTTCTGTGAGTCCAAGGCCAGCCTGGTCTACAGAGCGAGTTCCAGGACAGGCTCTAAAGCTACACAAAGAAACCTGTCTCAGAAAAAAAAAAAAAAAAAAAATTAAGGCTTGGGGCCAGTAAGATGGCTGGGAGGATAAGGACTCTTGGCCACCAAGCCCGACAGCCTGGGTTTTTCTGTCTCCAGGATACACATGGTGGAAGGAGAGAACTCACTTCTGAAGTTTGCTCTCTTTCCTCCTCATATGTGCTGTGGCTGTGTGCACACACAACACAAATAAAAGTGTAATGTAAATATATGTATTATATATTCGATTTAAGTCAGGCATGGTTGCTGACCCTTGTAATCGCAGTACTCAGGAGGTAGAGACAGGAGGATTGAAAGCTAGTTGGTGGGTACCCTTGGGCTAAGTTCCAGGTCAGCCTCAAGTGCATAGTGAGCCAGCCAGTGAGATGGCCCAGTGGGTTAAGGTGCTTACCACCAAGACTGATGACCTCAGTCTTATCCCCAGCGCCCAACATGGTGGAAGACCGTCAGCAGCTCCTAAGAGTTGTCCTCTGGCCTCCACGTGAGCTCCGTGGTGCGTGTGCACACACACACTCACACACACACGTGTCTTGAATACACTATGACTTTAGTGACAATTGGAAAGAGGTTGACCCATCAACTATTGCTTGAAGCATCGTGTGATGGCACCCACTGCAGCCAGGAGTCCTGGGTGAACAAGCACAGCCTGACTGTCCTGCATGAGAACCGGCAAGTTCATAGTCAGCCCACCTCAGGGCCTCATTCTGTCATGTAGACTGGGAGCTCCCAGCTTTCTGCCTTTGGCTTTGCTGGGGGGGTCTCTCGGGACCTCCCTGGTCAGTTTTCCTTGCAGATCTAGGCATACCTGGTTTGTTCATGTGCTGCTGACCACCAGGTCCCAGCAAACAAGGCAGAGACTTGATTCTGAATCAGATTGAACGATTTTTAAACAGAAGGAACAGAGGCTCAAGCAGGCACTGACTCTGTGTGGAGCCAGCGGAGAGCCTGGGTTAAGGCTGCTTGCATCTTACTGCAGAATCGCAGCAGTCTGTGTTCTGGTTTGTTTGGTTTTCCTTTCAAGACTGGCTGGCCTGGAACTTGCTACCTTGGTACGTCAGCCAGGCTGGTCTTGAATTCACAGACCTGTCTCCCTCTGCCTCCTGTGTGCTGGGATTAAAGTGAGGCCTTGGTCTGTTTTCTTAGCTGTTGTTTCCTTTCTGTTTCATGGTGGTTCTAGGTCTCAAAACTAAGGCGTCCATGTGCAAGCACTAGGCTGACCACCCTGGACTGTGCCCTCTTCCCCTGTGATTTTTTTCCAGAAACTTAACCAAAGCTATTTAAAGTTTAAAGAGTGTGTGATCTTTGAGAATCTCCTGATAAGCTACTGAATGGAGTTTCTTTGGGGAGAAAGCCGGTGCTTAAGTGTATACACTCACAGCTGGTGCCTAGACAGTCGTGTCCCATACTTCAGAAAGACAAGTTTCTGCTAGGGAAAAATCCCACACTCTGTTTCTCTGATTGTCTTCAGGGAAGCCCAAGTAAAGCAAAACAAAAACCTGATATCTGAAAGTTATTTTCACAAAGAGAGCTCCTGCAGCTGGAGTTTGTCCTGCTGTGTCTGGGCGAGGGTGAGACTGTGCAACGAGCACTCTCCTGCGCTGGTGACCACATGGCTGCACTAGACAGGCTAGAAGTGCTGGGCTGCCTTAAAAACTGCCCATGTCGGGCCAGCGGCATGGGGACTTGACCACCAGCACCAGTGTTTCCCTGCTGGCTAGCAACGTTGCTCACTGGGGAAAGGTATTTGCCACAAGCC